TAAGGCAAAAACAATAAAAGTTTGAAGTAATGAAAGATGATATTAGGTTACTAGGTTACACGATTTCTAGGGCTCCTAAGACATGTATTTATAGTGCTCAAGACCTCTCTAGACATCACTTAGGGTTTCTCCAAATGTGGGCTTCAGAAATGGGCTTTTTGGGCTCGGAGGTTGAAGGCCGCGGTCGGGAGTGCTCTGACCGCGGTGGATGAGTGGTTTTCCGTGGTCGGGATGCTCCTGACCGCGGGAAATTGCTTGTTGGCCGCGGGTGGAAGTGCTGGCCAGCTGGTTTACGGGACATCTTGCTCTTCGCGTATCTTTTGATTGAACCGTTGGATTGCCAAGCTGTAAAGTGAACTGGAAAACTGATACTTCCATCTTTAAGGTCTCTAAATTTGAGCTGGTTCAGACGGTGAGAAGGCCTTCAATCAGGGGTGAACTTCTGACGGTTTGACTCTGAGCTGAAATCTGGTTTTCTATCCATTTTGTTAAGCTTTTCCCTAAGTTACCTGAAAAGAGTTTTGAAACTACAAATACTAGAAAAACGTAATAAAGGTACTTAAAAGAAATTAAAAACATAGAAAAAGTATTTCAAAACGATCCATAAAAGTGGTCAAAATACGGTGTTATCATGTTGCTCGCCATGTTCTTCGGATCTTAAAGTCTCGTCGATTTAGAGTAAGAAAGTTTCGATTCCCCACAGACGGCGCCAAATTGTGTGAGCCAAAACTCGCACAACCAGAAATTTGTTTAAGGAAAACTAAGGGATCGGAAACTTCTAGGGTTTATCGTCAAGAACAGTAAGATCGAAAGAAAGTTTTTCTTGCTGTAAAAGTGTTTAGCTCTTATTGCTTAGGGTTGCAAAAGTTCCCGAATGAATTGTATACATCGTCTATATATACTAACTCTCTGAACCGCCTAGCCGAGAATCTCGGGAGAGATTTTCGGAATATTTCCTTATCGCCTCGTGCGGCTCACCGCCCTTGTATTTCGCCTAGGGTTTTTATGGGCTTCGTCTCCCAAGGCCACGGTTCCGCCCATCATTCTCCTTCTCCACGGCTCGGCCCATCTAAGCTTCTCCACGGCTCGGGACATCTAAGCTCTTCCACGGCTCGGCCCATCTAAAATTCTCCACGGCTTAGGACGTTTGCCATTTGAGTCGAGACATGAGCTGGTCCACCTCACCGAAGCGCGGCTCGGCCCAGGCGTGTTGGAGAGGGGCTCGGCCCATTTCTTGTGATACGGCTCGGCCCATCTCTCTTTTCCTCACGGCTCTCCCTACTGGCCTATCTTCACGGCTCTCCCACTTGGTGAGAACGGCTCTCCCACTTGTCTTGGTGAGAACGGCTCTCCCACTTGTCTTGGTGAGAACGGCTCTCCCACTTGTCTTGGTGAGAACGGCTCTCCCATTTGTCTTTCTTCTTTACTTAGTCATTTTGAGATGGTATTATCTACGTGGGGTGAAAACCGACCCCAACACCATTCCCTTGACTTCACTGTAATTGTTATTTCCCATTAACACTTTACCACCTTCAAGCTCTTTAAAGTCAAACAACAAGCTCTTATAAGGTGTAATATAGAATGTACACCCTGAATCCATAACCCACTGATCCTTTGAATACTTCAAACTGAATCATGGGTTCTTCTTCCTGAGCCATGTTTGCCAAACTTGAACATTTTCTCTGTGGGCAGTCCTTCTTATAATGACCTTCTTTACCGCAGACTCATCACTCTCTTACCTTGGGTTGTCCACCCTGAGAGTTCTTCTTGGATTTCCCATTCTTTCCATTAGCAAATTTACCTTTACTTTTGCTTTCTTCAGACTTTTTCCCAGCCTTCCCGTGACCGAGATGCAATCCCTCTGCACCACTACCAGATTTATTAGACCCAGCTCTCTCAACTCTACCTCTTTAGCATGAGCAGACTGTACAACTCAGCAAGTGTCAGCATTTCTTTCCTTCTATTTCCATACTTCACTGTGTGTACCAGTGAAGCATAATGATTTAGTAATGCTAACATAACCTGAACCGCCTGATCTTCGTCGCTAACCTCAATGTTAAGACATTCTAGCTCATCGACCAACCTTAAGAATACATCCATGTTTTCATCAATAGACTTGTTCTTATCCATTTTGAAGCTAGCAAATCTTTGTTTGATATATACCATATTTGGTAGAATCTTGGTCTGGTATGCTTCTAAAGCTTTCCAAGCCCATGCAGCTGTGGTTTCTTTCATCACCTTTCGCAGAACCATAGTTGTAAGACTTGAACAAATAAAGTTCTTTATTCTCACGTCTGTATCTGTTACACAATCAACGACTTCGTATCTGCGGTTGAGTCCTCGATTGCTTTTCCCTTGACTGTTGTTGAACTACCAAATCCCTAGAGTTCCAGTTGCATGAGCATTCTGAACTTCCACATACTGAAATCGCCCTTTCCATCAAACTTCTCCATTTCAAATTTCTGTATTGCTTCCATCGTAACTCTGCAGATGCACAATTACAACCTCCAAGATAGACAAGAACCTTCCAACAATCAGTCAAAACACCTGTCACCCAACCTCGTCCTAGAACCTTTAACACCTTATCACAATGAACCTGATTACTGGACCGTAATCACCCCTGCGCCTGAAACCTGATAATCTGATACCACTTGTAAAGATTTAGTCTTATCTTTATAAGTCCTGTTATGGTCTATATTCAATTTAAGGTTGATGTTCTACTTAGTTTGTTCGCAGAATTTAGAAGCTAAGTGACACACACACTTTGTTGACCCAGTTTCCGTTAGGTACGTCTGGGAGTGGAACAAAACCACTATGCTTTTACTATGACTCGAGTTATAAAAGTAATCTGACCAACTTGTATCTTTGATCACAGCTAGTACCAACACAAGCAGATAAGGACTTTCTATCGAGCTACACCAGAACTGAACAACCGCCAATCCTTGCAGGATAAGACCTGAAGCTTCACCTCCTAAGTAATCTGTATCTCTCTAGCTGCCTCTGCCTCAATAATCTGTTTCGTTCTCGTGTTATTGAAGAAGAAGTTTACCTAGGGTGTTGACTTTATATATGTTAACTTGGACCAGCTCTTTTCCAGGAAAGGCCCAACTAATCCCAGCTTCCTTTTAACCCAAGACCAAAAACGACAACAACCTCACATTATATCTTTGAAATCAATCAACGAAGGTGGTTAAATTGATATTGATGAAAATAAAATCAACATATAATACTTTTTCAGAAACATTATGCTCAACACACACAAAATTCAATAAACAGTGTTCAACAAATACAACTCTAGAAAAAAATGATCAACACACACAACTCTTGTACTTTAATTACATATTAAATTTATAAAAAATACTATTTGAAAACATGTATGAGAAAAGGGACATGGAATCTTATCCGAACAAGACAGCATACAAAAGAGTGGTACAAAGGCATCTAGTTCACCCACACATTGGGGAAGTACTCCTTTCTCACATGGCTCGCGATTCTAAATCGACTATCAACAAGTGATCGCATACAAATTTGGAATACGGTACAAAGAGTGGATCGTATTCTCTGTGGTGACCCAAATAAAGCAAGAAATCAATTATTGTACTCATCTAGGTACTCCTGCGAGACTTTGGGATGCCCTTGGGCCAAGCCAAGGAAGCATGAACTTAGGGCTAATATATTTATTAATTTCGTTTCTGCCACAAACTTCTAGATGTGATCTTAGTCTACTGGTTCTGAACCTCCATTAAATAGCCAAACAAGATTCGAGTTTTGAAATTTCCTTTTAAGTTTTAAGTATTTATTGTATTTTATAATGTTTTTGTTTACCTTTGAAACAACAGATCATTGGTTTAGTTATAAACACATTTTTGTTTACCTATGAAATAATGGAAATATAACACGTATTTCTATTTGTTAAGGTTTTTTTATTATATTATGAAAATGTACAGTACAACCAGCAACATCTTTTTTTAGCTAGCGCCTTCAAAAATTCTGGACAGGCTATGCCCAAAGACTCCTTGGAAACGAGTAATCTTTGTTTTGAGATCACCTCATTCGACATTTTGCCGAATCAAAATTTTTTTATTGAGATATGTTTTTCAAGCAAACTTATGCCATTTTGGCATAAGATAAATGCTCGAAGACATGGTGAATCTCCTTCCCCCACATATCTCATCACAAGTTATTAACAAAAGTATCTTAAATCGATTAAGTTCCATCATAACCGCGGGTGATAACTCCTACGATGAGGATCTTATTTTGTGGTTCGACTCGAGATCTAGCAGAAGTCTACTAAAACTTCTTTGAATTTTTATACTTTCAGAATTCGATAGTTTTGTCTTTCTAACACAAACTGAAGCGTTTATTATATAATATATATATATATATATATTAATAATTTTTTCATTTAAATCAAAATATAAAAATATACATAAAAACTCAGAAAATTAAAATTTGTTTAGAGCTAAAATTTTGAAACATTAAAAAGACTTATCCAATTAATAAATAATAATAATAATAATAATAATAATAATAAAAATAATAATAATAATAATAATAATAATAATAATAATAATAATAATAATAATAGTAAGAGTGAAGAGGGTACATAGTAATGGAAGCTGGCAAAATTAATGAAATGATAAAGGAAACTTGAAAATTGGGTTGCTAAACAAAGTGTTGGGCTTTGTAGCCCATTTTATCTCTATTATATTTCTGCGTTTGGCGGAGGGAGTGATGGCAGGGAGCATTAAATGAAGCTGTCTGTTATTATGAGCAAAAAGAATATCTGCCCTGACATAAATCCTTGTCCAATCTACCGCCGCCTGCACATACGATCTCAACCGTTGAAATAAAAGCTTAGAGATTAGGAAATTAAACAGATAATATCTTTTATCAGTGTTATCGGGAAACTGAAGTTACGCGACACTTTTTACTCCTCCTATTTAATGACGGTATAATTGTTGCCACCGCAACTTAGAAGGAAAAAAGGTTGACAAAAAACACAGAGCAGTAAATTCCTTTCTTAGCATTTACTAAGTTCGGCGGGGTTAAGCTCGGAGGTAATAACTTCAGCAGCTGTGTAACGACAACGACAGTTACTACCGGTAACATATATAAACTCAAAAAGTTTATATAATTTCCGCTGTTGATGATGCTATGTTGGGTGGAAGTTAACTTGTTTATCTTACTCTTTTATCATGATAATTTGAAGGTATGACGATGGAGGTGAGAGTTAACCGTGGGTTCTGGGTGAAGGATTCCGAGGGCTTGTGGGATCATATACCCGATGTCCAACGATTTAACTACTCAGTTACCGTGAAGGAGAAAGACAATTTCCGAAAGTTAGAGCAGGCAGTGAAATTTGAGCTTCGTTTGCATCCTGGTGACGAGGTGGAGCTAACGTACCAATGGCCGCAGTGAATGCTGGGGCCTGAATGGAGGAAAGCACAGCCTATCAACTTTGTCGACGATGATGACGTTGAACTATTTCTAGCCATTAGAGCTGACATCGACGAGGTGTTCTTGCGGGCTAGGATAATACCAGCTGGAACAGAGCGGAACGTAAATTCATACTCCGTCACCGCATTAGGAAAACAACCGCCGGAACGCGGAAACAGCTCAAAAGGGGGCCCTCAAATGACGAATCGGCTGACTGATCTGAATAAATGGCCGTTGCATGTTTTCCAGACAGGCGGAACAGGTTGGATTTGTTGTTGTATCATAAAGATATGTAAAGATAACTTTGTAGTAATGTGTCGTAATGTGTAATATCAGGTAGCATCGTTGGTAGTACAAAAATGACGGATATAAATCCGATTGAAGCCAACCGGCAGAGGGAAGACAACCGCAAGAGGGGAGTTGAAGGGAACAGAGGTGGTGGTCCTTATGTTACACTTCCAACTACCCCAGGTGAGAAAAATAAAGTGTTAAAAGCAGCTGCTTAAGGATGTGGTATTTGAGAAGTTGGAAAGTTTGATGACAGTAATATAATAGTTTCTGCAGTTAACCAAGTTGCTGAGACAATCGGGAGTGTTGTACCCTCGCCTTCCTCTGTTTTAGGTAACAATACGTGATACTAATTTATGACCTTGGTGACATATTATGTGCTGTCAACTAAGTTAACTGTGTGTTATCGGGAAACAGGGTTATCGTCTAGCGTACAGAGGACCAGTGTGGAAACGCCAGCAGAGTTGGCGGAGCTGTGGCGATATTTCCGTTCAGGGACGAATAATAACACTGCCGCAGCAACCACCTACCCCCCACAGGCTTATATTCTGAGTCAGTCTACGTTGATGATACGTGATATTGGGGAGAAAGAGAGGAGGAGTAAGGAATCTGCACCAGAATATCATCATCATGGCCGTTCTCGTACTGTTGACAACAGCTTACAGTTGACATTAGCTGGAGCATTCGTTGGGAGCAACTTAGCGCAAACTGAAAACGCCTTACTAGTTGGACAATCATCTTCATCCTCCAACACCGGTAACATGTCAACATCAAGCGATGGGAGCTCTGACTTTGTTATTGTGGCCAACACTGCTATCTCTTTAATAGGTATAGCAAATGAAACATACATTTATAACCTACGATTCAGTAAGGCATAAAGTAGAACGATAAGTGTGTGGTTCTTTGTGTAGGTGATAATATGGAACCCCAAGTAATTACTGATGAAACAAACTTACCTGGAAGTTCTAATAATCCACTCGAAGGGATACCAGTGTATGTCCCTGGTGAGGGGGTGCGTGACAAAGGGAAAGCCATAGCAGGTGGGGAGATAGTTCCTACGGCAACATGCAGACCTGTAATCCGAGTTGACGGACTCCACGTAATGAATGAAGAGCCAAGGGTGACGCCAACGATGCACGAACGCGACGCACCCCCATATTTTGACGACCCGATTGGCGAAGGTATATAGCTTCTGAAACAAATATCTAGTACTACGGTTACCGTGTTATCGAAAGTGGATGTTACCGTGCTAATATGGTTAACTGTAATACAGATGAGCTGGAGCGAGCACTACATGATGTCGATTACGAAGGGGATGACATCTTCGTCGGTCGCATTTTCAAAAACAAAGAAGATTGTCAAAGGAAGCTGGCTATCCACGCAATTAACCATAAATTCCACTTTCGATACGCAAGATCCTGTCCCAATGTTATCATTGTTGTGTGTGTGGGTGACACTTGCCCATGGCGTGTTTACGCTACAAAAATGGAGGAAAGTAGCCGGTACGAGGTCTGTTCTGCAAAACAAGAGCACACATGCAGTGTGGATGCGCGCGGGAACTTTCATCGCCAAGCTTCCACTGCGGTAATTGGTGAACTGATGCGCTCTAAATACGGAGTAGAAGGAAGAGGACCACAGGCGTTTGAACTGCAGCATCTGTGCAGACAGGAATTTAGCCTGCACATCAGCTATTGGAAAGCATGGAGAGCTAGGGAGATTGCGATGGACAAAGCCTTGGGTTCAGCTATGGGCAGCTACGCTTTGGTTCCAACATACTTTAAGTTGCTGAAACAAGCAAACCCAAACTCTGTTACAGGTATAAAAACAGAGGTAGATAACACTGGGGTGGAGCGGTTTAAATATCTCTTTTTCTCGTTAGATGCCAGTGCGAGGGGCTACCAATACATGCGCAAAGTCGTCGTCATAGACGGCACACATCTCCGTAATCGTTATGGAGGATGTCTGGTTGCCGCGAGTGCTCAGGACGGGAATTTTCAGATATTCCCACTTGGGTTTGCGATAGTTAATAGCGAAAATGACGAGGCATGGGAATGGTTTTTAGAGAAGCTTAGTGAGATAGTGCCTGACGAACCGGAGCTGGTGTTCGTCTCAAACCGCCACTCGTCAATTTACTCTGCGATTCGCAAGGTACTACATTCAAACACTAATAATCTAAAGTGTAACACGTTGTGGTAACGACGTTGAATGTTAGGTTGAAGTTCTGGTAGGGGTATAGTTATCTTTAATGGTGTTGTTGTTGACTGTGAACACAGAGTTTACGATACTTTAGTTAGCATGTGCCGTGAAAATTTTAGTACAGCATCCATAACCTGAAAATGATTTACTCGATATGTTAGTTAACTCTAAAAGGATAGTGACGACACTGCGGTTAGCCTGCCGTTTGAGATACTTACCTTAGCTGGAGGGCTTTTCTTCCTTTCAAGCAAATCCGCTAACTCCCTTCCGGATAAAGATATACAATTCCCTAGGTTGATTGCCCTGCAGATCAGTCAGCATATAAGTATACGCGTGTGGACAACATACCCACATCAGGTTACATGATCTACCTTTTGACGCTGTTGATAGCGTTTTGGACCTTTTCATCAAGCCTCGACAGCTTCTCCAAGTCCGACTCCTTCTCATGGCCTATGAGAGTCTTCAATCGTTTATCACACTGAAAGCGCTCATCTAGCCGAGAAGAGATCATCCTAGGACGTTTGCTTTTCCTTGTGACCTCAGGCTGGTTAACGTCAGGGCTGTTAACAATGTTTCCATCAACCTAAGGTAGTAGATACAAAAATAAACACATAATTAGCCCCCTCGTACTGGTTAACGATATGTAACCTACATCCAGAGGATTGTAACTTACGGCAGATACATCGGCGTCGTTTATCTGTGAACCGATTATAGCCTCCGGGCAATCGTCATCAGGGTTTGGAGATGCAACCTACTCGGGTTCCAACAAACATACATATAATGGTTACATGTACAAAAAAATAACACCAAAAAATACATAAAAATACTAGAATGACAACAGTGCGAACTGGGACATGTTGGCCCAACGGCTTAGCTTGGTGAGCAACATTGGAATGGACATCTTCTTCTTGCAAATCATCTTGGGCCTATAACAAAAAGAAATTTTTAGTTAACAAGAGGAAGTTTATCGTGGGGTCGTGATAACCATTGTTACTAGAAAACAAGGAGTTGGAGGTAAACAGATTAGCCTTGAAAAGTTTGAAAGAAGTACATACCACTATGGGTGTTGGTGTAGACCGGCTGGTAGGCGCATTTTCATCGACGACTTCCATTTGGTCCTGTTCCGAGTGCAAAAATTAAGGACGAATAAATAGAGACTACAGAACCGGCGAATGTTAATTTTGGGGTCGTGATAACCATTGTTACTAGAAAACAAGGAGTTGGAAGTAATCAGATTAGCCTTGAAAAGTTTGAAAGAAGTAGATACCACTACGGGTGTTGGTGTAGACCGGCTCCTAGGCGCATTTTCATCGACGACTTCCATTTGGTCTTGTCCCGCGGGCAAAAATAAAGAACGAATAAAGAGAGACTACAGAACCGGCGAATGTTAATACGTATGGGTGATATATAAGTCATATATCCAGCACATAATATATACAGTTGTGAAAATGTTGCCTGCTAACCATGATTAGTTGTAAATAAGCTGATTACCTTTACTCCATCATACTTCACGCCAGGTAAGTTAGAGCCATCCCCCATAGGTGTTGGGGACCGGTTAAGAGGCTGAGAGTCATCGTGCACCATGGCTTCCTCCTGCTTACAACCAGATGAGGAAACTTTTGATAGTAAACGGCATGCCGTGATGGATTTCAGGTTATCTGCAACCTGGCATATCTAATAACTATAGTACCTTGATAGTTCTCCTATCTGCCTGCTCAACTCCATAGGTTGAATCCCCCGATTTTTGATGGTCAAACAACCGGAGGGGGTGGTTGCTCTGGTAAGGCGGATGGTCCTCCATTGTCCTCGTGATTGGCCGAGTAGTAGGCTATAATTTCCTCCGTAGACAGCCGTTCGTTCTGATTGCCAATGTCAACACCGTTTTCGGTGTTGCATCCTTCTGCGGGTGACTGGTTGCTGGCATTGTCTTCGTCCCCGTTGCCGGTGGTTTGGCTACTATCGGATACAGTACCATCTGCTGAGGAAGTATCGACGGAAACAGACCTCGTTGGGAGTTCCCCGAAGTTAACAGTGCTTTTCGTTATCAGTTTTTTCAACGCAGCAATAACAACCTTGTTGTTCTTGACAAGCATGTCTGCAAATTTTTCCTCTAAAGCGATTTCGTGTTTTGACAACTTAGCCTCTATTATATTCCCAATGCGAGTTTCGTCAGAGATTGTTGTGCTTGGACCAGCACCTCTATCCTTATTCTTCACGCTCCTTCCGCCAACACCTTTGCCAGATTTACCTTTTCTTGACTTTGACTTTGGTGGAATTACAGCTGGTTTGCTCCCACCCACAAACATCTCGCTCTTGAACTGAAAACCTTCTTGGATGAGTTTCAACATCTCCTCAACCTTTGGATCAATAGGATCGTCCGCCCAGCTAAGATCCTCCTCCTCGTCGAATACTAGATCCTGCAAAGAATTACAATTCGGGGTTACCTCTATACTCAGCTAAGTATCCGTAAGAAGAACAGAGTTATTGGTTAACTCTGTTGTACATGACTAAAATATGCGTTAACTAAATTAGATGAATCTTAAATAGACAGATATTCTTATTACCATCTACCTATATTTTAAATGGCGGATATTCCTCATTTAACGGTTGTCTGGTAACTTGTTGTATATGACAAATTAAGTGTTATCTAGGTTAGACAAATTGTTCGAGAACATACCGGACACCACGTTGACAGATATCCTGACTGACATCTATATAGGTTGCTATCTCTATTCACCTCAATGTAGATAGTTCCCCCATTTACTATACAGGTAACTGTAAACTACGTTAAACAAAGTTCATTTGTACATTTTCCGCTTCGTCGATGTCACGCGCGTGACTTAACTTTAATTGGAGGACCTGTCGCTGTTGGGGGAGGAAATCATCTTCGTCATCAACTTCGGCGGAGACAGACTGTTTCAGACTATCTGCAAGCGATGGGACAGCTTCCAAAACAACAAACTGTAGAGCTGCAAACAGACCTTGAATCGCTACGTTGGCGTTCACTAGCTTCGATGGTTCCCTCTCTTTAATGGAAGATATCATCATGTAAAAGGAAAGCCGACCCCATGGGTACTCAACAAATGAGACCAGATCCTCCGTCATTTCTGCATGTTCCTTTACCACTTTTACTCGTGGGTAATGGACAGTTGGTAGCAGAATTCCGTCAACGAGGACGAGACACGCCATTTTTATGCGGACTTGTTTGTCCAGATCTCGCCGGCGTTTCAGAATCGTGATTACTCTCTCGATAGTAACATCGTCTTTTCCATCAAAGAGTTTGGCGTAATTTGGGTTTGTCGAAGACTTCTGTTTTCTCGCTTCAGTTGGCGGCAATCTACCACAGTTCAATCCAGTAACGATTTTGAATTCGCGGAGAGAGAATCTAATCGGCCGTCCAGCAAAAACAAACCAAATCTCGTTCTTCCGGTCAACATCGAGCTGTCGCGAGAGTAAAAACAGCCCAAACGTACCTGACCAAGCCGGTTTGGAAGGGATCTCAAGAAGCATCCCCAAAGGGGACTCCCGGATAAAGTCGATTTCCGATTCATTAAGCGCCGCTACGAGATCTGAAATGATGCTGAATTTCTGGTAAGTTATAACTCGCTGTCCCCATGGCTCGTCTCCCGCCGATATGATTCGCTTCGGAAGATTTAACGAATTCATGACAGAAGTGGGTTTGAAAGAGGACTGAGAGAGAAATTTCTACACTTCGACAGTATAGAGAATGAAGGATACGAAACCAAACGCTATTGCAGAGATACTTATTGCAGTTAAGTAAAGAGGAAATAGGAAACGACACACTCAATGAGGAGTCCAATAAACGGATTGATGGTCTGTTAACCCTATTCTGAGTTATCTTTATGTTTTCGTTAGTATAACGAAGGAGTCCAAATCTATTCAAATGGATATCCTTGTCGGTTCTGACACACGCATAACATGTAGGACAGCTGAAAAGCTTCTTGTGGGTAGGGGTTACACGGTCTTTTTACTTTAAACAAATATGTGGGGTTGACTCCGAAAAAGTACCTCTTAAATATGTCAATTTCTTATACTATACTGTAATAATAATAATAATAATAATAATAATAATAATAATAATAATAATAATAATAATAATAATAATAATAATAATAATAATAGGAGAATTTCTACATGGGTGGGTTTTTTTTCTCTTCGGGTCATCAGACTTTTCTTGTAGTTTTTATAAAATGGAATATATTTTTATTTTCTAAAATATCTTTTTTAGGGTCATTCATTCACCCGGGAGAATCCGAAGAGAGAGCAACGAACCTTATTGGACTGACAATTAAAAAAAATGAGGATAAACCTTATCTAACGAATCTCACTTCCATCCTCAGAAACGGCCACGTAAGACTCATATCTCCCACTCCTGATATGATATATCTTACGTTTCCACCCACCTTTCACTTCTTCTCAAACACCAAACTCACATTTGAGAAAGATCGACGAGACTCAGAAATGGCTTCTACTTCCGCTGTGTTATTGGTCATGCCACTCACCCAAAACCGATCATCTTCATCGGCAAAAACCATTGCCTTCCTCAAGCCATTGCCTTTGAAGCCATCCAAAGCCTCCTCCTCCTCCACCTTAGCCATGCCTTCACGAAGGTTTCATGTGACTGCATCTAACGTAAAGATGGAGAAAGCTGTGAGCGGCTTAGCCGCCGCAGCTCTCACCGTGTCAATGGTGATCCCTGAGGTGGCTGAAGCTGCCGGCTCAGGAATCTCTCCTTCTCTCAAAAACTTCTTGCTTAGCATTGCCGCGGGAGGCGTGGTGCTCACAGTGATTATCGGCGTGGTCGTTGGTGTCTCAAACTTTGATCCAGTTAAGAGAGGCTAAAAGAGAGAGAGAGCGAAAAGAGATATGATCTCTATCATTTTAGTTTGGTATTGATTTGTGAATCCATGTAATGTTTCAGCAATGAACTTTTTCATTCTTCTTCTATCTTCTATTTTTACTTTATCACCAGGTTCTGCTTTGGAATTCTTCATTGGACTCAAGATTACAATAAAATAGAATTCTATAGCCTCAAGTTGTTAACAATGGTGAAAAAACATAGAACATATCGTTGATAGATAGATAGAATTTAAAGAAATCAATACCCAAAAAAAAAACCTACACCTACGATCCTTAATGTAACTCAATCTACAAAACTTATTAATAAAACAAAAAAAACAAACGCAAAAAGGCTTTTTAAGCAACTGGAATTTCTGGGTAATCTGTGGTTGTAAGCGGAGCTTCTGGGACAGGAGCAGCCGTGGCAACAATCGGAACAGATGTTTGGTTAGCATTTTCATCCTTCGGACCATGGATGATCACAACATCAGGCAATGGTGTCATCGGTCCTGTTTTGCCCTTGGGGTCCCAGTCAAGCATGACCTTCACCTTGATTTCTAGCCCGCCCTGCACATTGGATCAACCAGACTCAGGTTACACATATTATACACAAGAGCTCTATAGATACGCTAAGTTTCAAGCAACCGGTTTGCAAAAGTTATCACACTCAGAGAAGTATACGTTTCTTGTTTACTTGCTAATTACAAAACTTAGAGGAATAAATGACCTGTCTAAGAACATGCCTCACTGCAGAATCAATATAGTCCTTGGTTGGTTGACCAGAGGAAACCATGTAACCATCCTTGAACTTCATTGACTTAGCACATTGAGATCGGAGTTTTCCACTCACAAGAACCTGTAAGCAAGCATTAGGTAAATATGATAGAGGTATTCTGAGAAAATAAAAAACGACAAAAGTAGTGAGTGTTAATTTTCATCCGGCCGGGATCAACTATTAATATGACTAATTTAAAAAGATGGAGATCCAAAAAAGAGGGAGAGCAAAAACAAGGGAAAGTCAAAAAGATAGAGAGTAAAAAAAAAAAATGGAGAGCCATAAAGAGGGAAAGCCAAAATAATGGATTTAAAGATAAAGATGCTTAGAATATTTTTAGTTTTCAATTTCCAGGTCCTTCGAAGTTCTTTTGTGTCCTTCTTGGTGGTGAATCATCTCTTTTTTATATGTGATCTGAATCGTTCTTCCACGAAATCTCTTCTTCATATGGGATCCCAAAGGAGTTTCTTTCTCTCTAAGTTGAAGATGAAAACTTTTCTTATTCGTTTAGAAAGTTTTCACCAATGGAAACTTTTCTTATTCATTTAGAAAGTTTCCACCACCGAGTTTATGTTTGTGAGCCTAGATCGGTCCGGGAGTTCGCTCGGTCCAATTCTCTCGGTATTCTATCATTTGTTAACCGGGCTTAATTATGCTAATATCGGTTTATACCGGAGAAAATCGGAGGTACGGTTTTCACCTTCAACAGTTAGTCCTCCCCCCCCCTCAGTTCGGTGAAATGGCTTATTATTTGACGAACTTGTTTTAAATTCGACCCTCAATCCTGATTACAAACCGAGTTTGGTTTCTCCTGACGATTCGTTTTCCGTGACTCTCAAAACCTTAATTTAATGAGGCGCGTGAGATCCAAACCATTGCAAAAATTGAGGCGTCATGATCACTATTCTTCCTTTATAACCTGAAGTTCGCTTCCCATTCCTCATTTCGCTTCTCCGCAAATAAAATGTATGCCGCTCTCTCTTCTCTCTAGAATCATTTCTCTCTCTAGTTTTATTTTCGCATTTATTCCAATTTTTCCGACTTGCCTTTGAGATTTCCGATTGATCTTCATCTGTTCTTCCGATTTACTTGAACTCTCCAATCTATCTTCATCTTGTTCTTTCTGTTCTTCAATCCTTCCTTTCCGAATTCCCCTTCCTTGATCCAAAATATCTGCCAAATCTTCTTCCAATGATGTTTCTTTCAACGGAATTCTACTTGAAGATCGCCGCGAGCCCTCTGAACCCTCAATTGCGCTTCAGTCATCTGAGAGATCGGTAGATCTCCCAACTTTTCAACCCCTAGTTTGGAAGAACTCGAGATTGGCTGGGGCTGGACCTAGCTGACCTGCTTCTGCGGCTAACCTCCCGGAGCACCTAGCCCAGAGTACCAGAGAAGCCAAGGCACATGTACCTCTGAACGTTGACGAGGACGTTGACAATGAAGTAGGTGATAACGAGGAGGAGGTTGGCGACAAAAAAGTTGAGGTCGGTGATGAGGAGATTAGGAATGACCTTGGGAACGAAGATGTCGAAGTGCAAGCGGTAGATATTACGGCTGAGAAAGTCCCTGCGTGAAAGGTAGTTCGCCCCACGGATGTGGGTTCGTCCTCGTGTACACCCGACTATATTTGAGCTGCGCTGGAGGTTAGCGGCATCTCAGAATGAGTGGTTTTTATCACGCTCGAGGTCGGAGACCGTCTTTGGGACGTTCCTGAAGATTTCATATGTGTTCACGGGGATTACTTCAGGGCCTGCAACCTCAAATTCCTAATTCTGGCACGTTTGTTCCAATAGTGAAATCGCCGTGGGGTGGCACTTTCGTAGATGATGCCTGCTTCCATGACGAACTACACGGGATATCGGCTTATCCGCTCTGAACTAAACGAGGATCCTACTAACCGGTTATTCGAGGATCTTTTCTCTGTGAACCTTAACCCGAAGAAGCCCTGGTACTTTTCTGCTAATGCCAAGCCCGGTCACGACCTCGTTACAGGTCTGAATCGAACTACTTCTTACTCGAAGTTCATGACCTTTCCCTCAGCGACACGAACCAGTCTTTTCACTCTGAGTGGCGGGTTCTGAGTGGTAGCTTTAGATGATCTCAGCTTTCTCTTAGCTGGTTTTTGCTGGATGTTCTTAACTGTTTCTCTTTTTTTTTCGCAGGTCGTCACCTGCCTAGTGTTCTACCCAACACCGGTCTAACAAACGAGTTCCAGAGAGCTTTTAGTGAAGCCGGTAAGCGCTGCTGGCCAGACACGTGGGAAGACATACTTGAATGACGAGCTCAGAGATTTGGTACATCTAGCTTCTTTACTTCTTTCATCCGCTTATTATTTCACAGTTCGTCACTCTGAATATCTTTTCCCGTTTCAGTTAAAGATCCAAAGCCTAATCCTTCCAGACGCCGAACTAGACAGAACCGTCCTTGCCCTTCCAGGAAATCTAGACGTATCAATCTCAAACCTGCAAACATGATGTCTCTCGAGAAAATTCCCAACCTGTTCGATGATGACTAGAATCCTGATGAGGAGACCCGCAAGACCGCACCGACCGTAGAGAAACACAACTTGGCACTTGACGAGGTTCCTCCTCTGACCTCAGTCCACCTTGCTGGGAATGAACAGCATAAAGCTCAAAAGAAGATGTCTTCGAAGAAAAAGTTTTCAAAGAGGACAGAAGGCTCTTCTTTTCAAAAGGAAGTCATCCTCGATGTTCCTCCGATCTCCTAGACTCAAGAAGTTGCAGTTCGGCAACCTCAGTCTAGGCCATCGGACTCCCGTAAGAGATCGAACTGGGATCCAACACTGGAGGACTCTTCCCAGTCTAGCTCAAGCAAGAGGCCTCGTATTTGGTTCGTTTATGATGAGGACGAACCCTTGGTGGACAACGAGGAGGCCTGTACCGATCTCTACCATAAGATCTCAGGTGGCGAGCCAAAGATGCCTAAGATCTCGTGCTGTTTCTCCCTCAAAGCTACAAGGAGATAGCGCATACGACTGCTATTGTGAGTTCGATTTCCACCTTTCCATTTAATCTTTAAAAAATCTTTTGACTTAACATTATCACGTTTTATTTCAGCTCGCCAGCCAGAGAAATTCCCTGGTGGTGAATTACGAGTAGAAACAAAAGCATGCGGATCTTGAAAACCAGATCAAAGAGCTTGAGAGGCGTATGACCACCGAGATGGAGCTGAATGACGGGCTAAACAACACAATCGATCTCCTTCATCAGGAAAATGTTGAGCTCAAGCCTGCCAAGGGCGAGCTGGCGAAGGCTCCAGAATTGCTGGCAAAGGAGTTTGAATCAGACAAGGCCCGGTTTCAAGAGAGGATGGCAAGGGAGAAGGCCTGCCGCTCCGATCTTCATGCTAAAGCGAGGAATCGTCTTGAGAAGATTGTGAAGTGTTTGGACAATAATGAGAAGGCCCACAAACCTTACATCATGTTTCATCGATGACCTGAAGAAGAAGGTTCTCTACACGGTGCTGGAGGAGGTCATGTCTCTACTCCAATCTTGTCATGATGCAGCCGTGTCTGACTTCTCTCGATGAAAACGACAAGAGGTTATCGCTGTTATCAGAACCAGAGTCCGAAGCTCCTGCTGTGACCTCGGTTAATCCCGAGGTAAATGAGTTTGAATCTAACGAGGCTACCATCACTGCAGATCAGGCAGCAGCTTTAAAGACCCCGAGGGCCGACTAACTCTTTTTCAAATGTTATCATTTTCCCTCAGTTTTGCCTGATAGGGCTTTTATTTTTTGAATTTATTTTAATTTTCGCAAGGGGCTTTGTTTTAATTTCCCATGATAGGCTTTATTTTGAACTTATTGCCCGTGGTGGTTTAAAATAAATCTCTCTTTTTTATCTCTTTCTTTGCTGTTCGTTATTTTATCGAGTGAAGTGCATCTCTATGAATTGTGCTAAGTATGATAACAAACTAGGTTAGTTCTAAAAGAGCGTAAGTTGTACTATTTTAAACATATTATACAATCTCAAGGTCTCCTTTGTCGAACCTAAGTGTGCGAGATGGGCTCGGCTTAATGTTCTTGGTGACATAGGAATATATTAGTGCGGGTCTGGCCCCGACTTTATGATGTGGATTTTAACACGACATCATGGAGATGTTCACGAGACGGATTTTGGCTTTTGAAATTTGCATTCATGGGGAATGCTATCGAACAACTGGCCAGGAAGTTGACGTAATACCGTCGAGTTCGGTTGTAAGATTGTGAACATAAGAGTTCGGTTTTTAAGATTTTTTCTTAGAATAGAATTTTATTAATGTTATATCTGAACTCGGTGACGAGCTGCCTACATACCCTTTGAAAGGTATCAAGTCATTCGTAGTTCAAAGTACAAAGAGTGATTTCTCCGAACAAAATAGTTATTTTTTTCGATATCGTCGAACTAATAATAGTATCGTTTGAGGTGCATGGAATTCCACGACCTTTTGTATTGGAGTCTCGTACATTTTAATGAGTTGATAAACTCCAAGCTTGAAGACCTTCATAACTTGATAAGGTCATTCTGAGTTAGCGCCGAGTTTGCCGGGGTTCTTCTCTTCCGTATTTTTGTAAATTTTGCATAGGACGAGGTCACCGTGTTCGAAGTGGCATCCTTTGACCTTTTTGTTATAATAACAAGGTGCAAGCTGTTGATAGTTCTGCATGCGAAGTAGCGCCTGTTCACACTGTTCCTCGATTGTGTCAAGGTTATCCAGCATCATGTCTCTATTGATGTCGAGTTGCTGAGCAAGCATAGTCCGGCGGATGCCGGGGACATTGAGTTCGAGTGGACACATGGGTTCTGTTCTGTAAGCGAGGAAGAAAGGGGATTGTCCGGTAGATCGCATGAGTGTAGTTCAGTAAGATGAGAGAACGCCATCTAGTTCGTCAGCCCAAGTTTCTTTTGTTGTATCTAGCCTCTTTTTGATTCCGTCAGTGATAGTCTTATTTATCGCCTCGGCTTGTCCATTGCCTTGGGGGTAACTCGGGGTGGAAAAACTCAGCCTGATTTTCCATTTAGCGCAGAAGTCAGTGTACGCGATGAATGTAAATTGAGTGCCATTGTCAGTGATGATCTCATACACTATTCCATGTCGGCAGATAATAAACTTCCAGATGAATTTCTTGTCGTTGATGCCATGGATCTCAGGATATGTCTCGGCTTTGACCCACTTTGTGAAGTAGCCGGTGACGACCAGCACCTTCTTCTTT